TAACAAAGCCCACGGAAACTAGATTTTTACTCTATAAAAAATTCAAGGGTAGTTTAGGTCCGAATTAACTCAAGTTCCCATATTCGGGTAGCTTCGAATGTTCAGACGTTACGACGTGGATTATCCGGATAATTCGGGAATTCGGGATTTGAGTAATCGGCTGATAATTCTTCCGGACTATTCGGTTATTGAATTATCCTAATATTTCCAATCTTAGTTGAGACGATCTGTAGAAGGGCACGCGATCCGAATCGCTTATAAAAATGCGAAACCTACACTCGAAGCTCGTGCTCACTTATTATGCATACGTGCGATTATGCACTTTTCAGTGCGCGGCTCAATATATCCATGAAAAATCGGGCCGAGTGACACGTGGAGGATCGTTCGAGAGATGCTCATTCGAGATAGGATTGGCGTCCCGGCATCTGTGCAGCCTGCGAATTATAAGCTTGCGAGTAAAGCGAAGGGAAGGAGCGAAGAAGAGAGGAACACGGAGATAGAGAAAGGGAGACAAGGAGGAAATGTGCGTGCGTGCGTGCACGCACACGTGTGTGAAAGGAAGAAAAAGACAAAGAGAGAGAGAGAGAGAGAAAGAAAAAGAACGGGAGAGGGATATAAAGACAGAGTTCGCAGCTACTTTATCTGCCTCAGGCGTTTCTCGCGAGAATGCGAATGCGCCTCCTGAACGAACGCGCTCCTCTCGCGAGACGCGTTGCGTCGCGAGCGCGATTAATTAAGCGACAAGGTGTCTCTCTCGCGTGTAACGAAGACGAAGCGCGACGCGGTTCTCATGGTTGTTCGTTCACTCGCTCGTTCTCGGGATTCAATTACTCGATTTTACTTTTTGCGGCACAAACCGCTTCCGTGACCCGACACCGGGAGGAGAGAATGACGAGACGGGCGGACGCGACGTCTTCATGATCGTAGCCGTCATCGGGGAACGAAAAAAGGAGAGAGAAAATTGTGGAGAGAGAGAGAGCGAGAGAGAGGGGAAGAGAGGGGGGAGAGAGAGCATAAGAGAGAGGCACAGAAGGCGTTCGCGCCTTCCCGCGGAATGATTAACGCTTCTCGGGCGCCGCCTTGAGATTTCCGCGCGCGGGAAAGAATCGGGATTGCGCGCGAGTCTAAACGCGGATAAACGATCCGCTCTCCTCGCATCTCCGCCGGCCGGGCCCCGCGCATCGTTCATCGTGCCGCCAGATATCGAACTATTAGTACCGCCGATGGTGCGCTATTAATCCGGCCGATGGACAGCACCGCTCTCGGGTTCGCTTACCTCCGTGTGTACGGATGTTCCTCGGAACAGCGATCTTTTTCGCGAGCTAAGCAAGAGAGAGGAGAAAAAGAGACTACATCGAATGTTCGATCCTGCATAAGGCGAAGACGCATCTCGCAGAATCCCGCTCGCGTTCGAGCGAGGGGGATCATTAATCGTGCCCCATTGCCACGGTTACATGGATTCTAATTTCGATCGAGATCCAATCTCGATAGCCCTTTTCCCTTTCTCTCGTTGAGCTTGCGCATCTATCTCCGCGAGGAGACATCGATCTGCCGGCTCCTTATCGCGCGTTCGGTGCTAACCGTTGAACTCTCCTCCACCTCTCGGCTTCGCGTCATAAATTACTTCCGACGAAGCGGATAAGCTGTCCTCTTTCCCGGAACCTCGTGGAAAGAGTCGATGAGTTGCTTATTAGTTGGGAAACACGAGTCTTTTCATGATCGGTCGATCCGCTCATGCTTCGATGCGTTTATTAATCGTCTCGGCAAGATTTCGCAGAGAGGAAAAAGAAAGGGAGAAAAAGACGTAATCACACCTCAATGTGATTCCTCGAAAGACGACGGGCGCGGGAAATATCCTGGTGACGCGGATTTATCACGAATGCATCCGGTAACCCCGCTGTTCAACCCCCTCCCCCCTCTTCCGCTATTAATCTCATCCCCTTTGCGGCCGTCAGACTTTCTGACGCATCGGGCGATTTTTCTTTTCTTTTTTATTTTTTCTTTTACAGATCCCATACGAGATAAAATCGCAACATCCTGGATACAACAGAAGAAGGAGAAGGGAGAGGGGGGGGGGAGCGACGCGGAGTATCAATTAGCTTGAATTACAGAAATACGCTAAGTGCTTTAAGGTTCGTCGGGAGAGAGTGACGAATACGCTCGGATATTTGATCTGGGCTGTTTACCCGGCTAAATGCAGTCGACTCAGACACTTTACTGCGCCGTCCTGTGATTATTCATAGTCACTCGACTGGCCGAGTCCTAAGTATAGGTGTGTGCGTGAGTTGATGCGACTTCAAAGCATCAAATGTAACGCGATACCGAAGTTCGGCCGGGTTTGCAGCTCGCAATCGCTCGCAAGTTATATCGAGTTCGCGGGGTGTATCAAGCAATCTTATTCGCGTGAAAATTCTAACGAATGTTGGTAGAGATTGTAAACGTAAATGATGGGAGTGAAAGATCGTCTATAAAATACTCGAATTGATTTCTGGGTTAATGTCGCGTACATGTTTCGTTTATCGGAGACAAATCCATGAAGAACGCAATACTCAAAAGCCATTTTAAATATTTCTCCATTGAGAGAAATATGTTTTTGATATTTGCAACTATAATTATCAATGAGAAAATGATGCATTGGAAGGAGGATTTGGTAACGATTATCAAGATTTCGTTAAATAGTCTTGGCTAAATTGGCTAATGAAATCATTCAGTACCATATACTGTAAACGGGAAAAATATTGTAGTAAAAATTACTACAAAAGTTTGTAATGCTGGAATATACCGGAATTATTATTAAAATTATTACGTGTGTTGTAATATTTAATGATGTGTATGTATGACAAACATCACTAAAGATTACACAACACACATAGTAACTTTAATAATAATTTCGGTACATTCCAGTATAACAAACTTTTGCACTACTTATTGTCCACAGGACGAAAGCCTAAACTATCAGAATGATCAATGAAAATTTTGCTATCGTCGATAATGCATCGCGCGTCTATAATAAGACTCACATTCTGCGACGATCGCGTCATGTATCCCGCGCCGAGAAACTAGAAACGCAGCGAGATGATTCGGTGATCTAACTCTTCTTACGGCAACCCCCGGCGGTAATAACTTTCGCTAAACGAGAAGCTAACCAGGTGTTAACCGCGGCGCAGGAAGCGCGAGAGAGGCCGCCGAGAAATCGCCGTTCTCGCGAGCGCGATCGATTATCCTGCAGCCGAGAGCGAAAAGTTCCGCCGTACTTTTTCTACGACTGCGGTCGTTGCGCCCGCCGTGGATTAATGTAACACAGGTAATGGCTCATTAACGAGAGCACGTCTCGACGCGTCGGAGTGAGCCGTAAGAGCCGCTCGACCTTTGGACCGCCATATAAATCTTGGGCCTGGTTCGCTCGCTCTCACCCCGTGCATTCCGCGAGATGCAATTCGCTATACGGGGTGTCTCGGCATAGTTTCTCGTTGCTTCTTCCTTCGACGAGCTCGAATCCGCTTAGAACGATTCAGAGACTCGAGACGGAATTCTCGTTAGCGAGGAGACACATTCGCAGGAAACACATTCGACTCCAAATTATATGTATACACAGTATACACAGGAGTCTACGTATTTCTGTATATTACAGGGAAATGGTGCGTTTAAATTTATAAATAGAATCCCGTCGTTTAAAGGAATTTTTTCTATTTCCATCTTTCCTTCGCGAAAATTGGAATGCCAATTTGCATTTTAATTACGAGTTACGAGAAAAGTTTGGGAATCTTTAGCGAATCGAGTCTCAGATACGTCGGTCTCAGAACATACCGCGACTGGCCGTAGAAACTCGCCGCAAGACTCGGCGCGAATGTCGGCTCACCCTGTGTATGCACGCTGGATCGGAGCATCGTGCTCGATTTACTCGCTTCAATCATCGCCGCGCGCTTCCCCGGCGCGCCGCGGGAAAAACGCGGACTTCTGTATATTGCGCGTCCGGTAGTCCGGCAGCTTCATCGGTTACCGAGAGGCCGGCGTTAATTACTTTCGCGTTTCACAGTGTGCAAACACGCGGCTGGATACGCGACTCGTCCGTAGGCGTGTGCGAAACGGTTAGAGCTCAGGAGCTCAGTCTCTGCCTTCTTTTTATTCCCCCGGATCGTTTACGTTATCTTTAATCCTCTCCCGTACCTCCGGATTATCTCGAGATGCTGAAAGAGATAGTAGACTAGTTCTTATCCCCGCATTACGTAACGCGACTGTGGAGCGCGCGATTTCTTTCGAAGGATGCTCCTAAAACGCGAGCAGGGACGAGCCAGAATTACCTCGTCAGCTTCAGGACGAAGGTCGACCGTTCGGCGGGTTTGGATGACGTTGAAATTATTGGATGCCCATATTGAAAGTCCTCATTTCGCATTTTAACCCTCCATTCCGTCGCAATACCCAATAGACACCACTCTAATACTTGTCAATTTGTTCTTCACTGTTTTTTTACGTACTTTAGCGCCTGGTCTATCAGCCAAGTGTTTATGAAAGAAACATCGTTTCAAGAAACAGAGGAAAGTAATGGGAAAATTAACGCGTGAGGTATACCTATATATATTGCGATCATTTACGAGCGAGAAATATCGCGACTAAAGCCAGTCATCACACGGTGCTTGTTTTCGTGCTAGATTACTTGCTGGATGGAAATACTCTGTTCTGATTATAATGTATTTGCGTAGTGTATTTCCATCCATTTTCGGAAATGCACTAATTTGAACGCAATATTTCCATCCAGCAGTAACTTTAACACGCGCAAGAAAATTAAGGAATATATGAACACGTTTGATATGTTTCTTACATTTCAGTAATCTTGAATAGTTAAGAGGACTCGAGAATCGAATCGGATTCAACTCGAGTCGGGATAAAAGAGACAGGTAGCGAAAGACATACTGCGGCTTGCGCAAATTGCTTGTAAACCCATAATTTCGCGGTCTTACACGTGTCGAAAGGGGAGATACATTAATTTTGCGCGTACTCACCATTGTCCCAAGCGGCATCCTTAGTCCTAAGTAACGCAGCCAGCCCGATGTTATCCTTGGGCATAACACGATTCAACATGTTGTCCGAGCCCTCCGCGTTCGCCATTGCCAATTGGTTGAATTCGACTAAATGCTCCTTTATCAGGGTAAATCTGCAAAAGAAAGACGGGAATACACTCGTGCGAGGAACCGACACATCGTTATATCTCATCGCGTCATAAGGGTTGATTTTGTCGTTAGAAATCGTTGTCGTTACGAAATTAACGCAAAATCAATCCCTTTCGAGGCGGAAACGAAGTATCTTCGTATAGAGAATAGATTACTTTTTTCCGGGGAATAACAATGATACGAGGATCAAACGAAAGATCACGATGAGATCCATCTTCTCCGCGTTCGCTGGTGAACTTGCAAGCGGAGAAGGAGCTTGTCTTGAGAAGGATTAATCGCCTCGCATTGGAGTCGCGACAAGAAGCTCATATTAGCTCCGGCGCGAGTCACACAAATACTGAAACTATGTACGCCAGGGGAGGAGTTCCCGGTCCCTTTTCAATCGGTCGCCCGGCGTAAGTCCCGGTAAACGGCCGGCGGGGCACAATTTCGCCGCGGAGTGACGTGGAAGGAGCGGGTGAGCGCGCGCGCGACACGACGTGGATACCAGAGAGACGGCGTCGCCCTCGACGTGTCGGACGATTTTCATCGTGAGCGGCCGGCACTCGTGAAAAAGGCGTATCACGTACGCGATGTAGAATACCCGGGTTCTCTTCTCTCCTCGATCCCGCCGCCGCCGTCCTCCTCGTGCCGCTTCGCACGGCCGATATGTGCGGCACGTATGCCTGAGAAATATATTCTTCGCCGAATACCCATTACGGGCCATCATCCCCTCTCGCCCTGCTCTTCGTCCCTCGTCGACTTTTCCTCCCCGTGGGCCGTAAACAAGATTGAATCAACGTCATTCGCAGTTGCTCAAGAGGGAAGAGAGAAAGAATGAGGGGGTGGTAAAGAAAGAGAGAAAGAGAGAGAGAAAGGGAGAATTGGGCGAGCGACGAAAACACGTTCACTCGTGGAACCGAGTGAGTTCTAAGATCTGACCGCTTATTTCGTTCGGACCATTCGCGAACTGTCCGAGCTTGAGGCTCGAATATATCTCCGCTTCGAACTGCTCGAACATACGGTTCAATCGTGATTCGCTTTCTGGCAGTTTTTTCGTGCGAACTCCGCCGCGCGAGCCCTCGAGAGCGAGAGAACTCCGCTCGCGACTGCAATTACGTTTCTCCTTGCGAAACACGCCCTCTTCCTTCTTCTTCTTCGGCTCGGCTCTCATTTCACGAGGGAGTAAAACCGGCGCGTTTTAGAAGAATGTTTATCGTCTGATGGATCGTAGAATTTTAACGGTGGGTTGCCTGCGAACGCACACCGTGCGACGTTGAGCTCCGGTCTCTTTCTCTCCGCCGTGGCCCTTCGCCGCTTTTTTCCCGTTTTTAAGTAGCAGCAGCTCGACATCGCGATCGTATAACCTCGACGAGGGGAGGGCAATAAAGCCGAGAATGATCGAGGGTCGAGCGAGCCGAAGGCGGAAATTGAACGCGAGTTGAACTTTACGCTCATCGCGCGAGGCGGCCGCGCCGTTGATTCGGTTCGGTCGATTTGGTCGCGTTGCGGCCGGATTGAAATCGATGGCCGCGTCTTTGCAAGCCATAAAAGCGACCGTAAGCTCTTTCCCTCCCTCTCGCCTCCTCATCGTTGAGCGGAGAAATCCGTGGCGAGATAAAAAGAAAGAGAAACGAGGGGGGAAAGTGGCGGACAGAGGGGAGTGGAAGAGAGTTATGCGAATTATGCGCGACCTCGCGCGCCTCGCAGTAGTACGAGCCGTTTTTGGTCAGACAAACGCGGTGTGGTCGCGAATTCCTTCCCGCGCGGCAATAATTTTCACGGCTGATATGCGTCGACCTGCGCGGTTTATCGCACCGTGTCGAGTGAATCTCGTTTATATTGTTTTATACAGGGTGACCCCCGCGAATACGGCGACGTACATACAGTGCTGGACAGAAAGGTTGCGACACTTCTTTTTTTTTGGGGGGGGGGATAAGTTTCGGAACGCATTCTGTGTCCAACAGAATATGTTTCTTAATTATTCCTGGAAGATATATTTTTCTGTTGGATATGAGACGCGTTGTGAAGCCCATAAAGAAAGTGTCGCAACTTTTCTGTCCAATATTGTACATTGATAGAAAATTACAGTTAATTTCGGCACCAAATATACTCTTTAACAAAATTTCCTCTCTTCAATAAAAACAGTCAGAACTATTTTTCTAATGTTACTATAGCGCCTCTAATAATACACCTTACATGCATGTTGCTACTATTGTAAAATATATTTGGCGCCAGAATTAACTATAATTTTCTATTAATGTATCATTGATGTTCTGCGAAAAAACCGCGGAAAGCTCGAGAATTTTATGTACGACTCGAGTCGCGAATTCGCAATTCCCACGTTTGAAATATTTTTAAGACACCGCAACCCCAGTTTCCATTTGATCTCCTTCGAGCCGTCGGAACTTCATACGCGGACTCGCCGATTGACCGCGACTTCACGGACTCGCGATTACCCTTTTAGCCATTAATTTAATTTCGAAGATAAATTAACAAACAAAAAGAAAAAATAGGGCCTCCTCGGACTTGCACGTCCGACGGGATCGATATCCCTTTATCTCGATTACAGTTCCACATAAATAAAGCCTACTGACATACTCATGCGCGTTCCCTTTCCCCCTCTCTCTCTCTCTCCCTCATTCCGACGTTAATCTCGAGTTATGAACCTCCTCGATTAACGCAGCGATGTTTAACGCTGCGAATGATGCGGCGGCAGGTTAAAACGACGCCACGGTGCGTTTAACAGCGAGCTTGACGGCAGGGACAGGAGGGAGGGAGGAGAAGGGAAGCGCGCCCATACACAGACGCACGCGTACACAGGTTCGTTCGCCGCCATCGACCTTAATATTGTCACAGAGAGACATTTACTTCGCGGGCTATTTACGACGGTGGGCTATAAAGGGACCGTTACGGGGGCCGCGCGACATATGCATACGGTCGCATTAATCGTTGCGCTCGATAGCTCCGGGCGCGGCGTCGCACCGCGGTATCGCGGACCTGCCATTACGTCGAGATACACTGAAAATAAGCATTAGTCGAAATAGATATCTCGCGGCGCGGTCGGCGATGATTAATGCGTCATAGGAGCCGCGCGCGGGCAGCTGCGACGCTCCCGTGCATTCGCGAAGGCAATTTCTGCGCGTATCGATGTCGCCTCTCGCCGTGCGCCAATAATTCTGAACATCGTGTGTGCACACGCGCGTGTGTGTGTGTGTGTGTGTGTGCATCGGGGGGGCTTCATTGAAATCAGAAACATCGCGTCCATGCACGCCGGGGAAGCCGAAGCAAGTAGACGCGATATCGCGAAATCACGAGGAATCATTACGTGTCGACCGTAAAAATCGCTCCTGGTACGTGGTTGACGTGTCGAGAATTAATTTACTCAATTATTTCGAGACGTGTTTTTCTCGTCGAAACGCAGCCGGCGAAGTTAATGAAGAGCGCAACGACGCGTGCGCGCGGTGTGCAATTTTCAGTTTCTCACGGGGACGCAGGTGCGGGTATTATTTTTTGATAACAACAGAGAGAGAGAGAGAGAGAGAGAGAGAAGAAAGGAGAGGCGTAGCGGGCGAGGGAAGAGGGAGACTCATCGATTTCCAGTTAATTTATTCGCCGAATAGGAGGAGATACGCGCTCACGAAAACGAGCGGTGCGGTCGCTTTTCTATTAAACACCGGGTTCGCGGCGATTTACGACGCGCATTACTATCTGACGCGTTATTGGATTACGTTATTACACGCCAGACACGCGCGCGACGCTTTGTTAAATTACGAGCAGACGCGTCTTTCATCCCGTTTGGAATTAAATGTCGCGCTTCGGGAGGCCGGCACACGTCGCCGCCTCCCCGATATCGCTGGTGATAAGCGGAGCCCGCCGGCTTTGTAATTGTTTGGCAAACGGCGACGATGATAATCTCTGACGCAATAATCGAATAGCGAAAGGCGACGATCCCGTGCGCGTGCACAACTAACGATCCACGACGAATAATTAAAATTTACAAATATTAATACGGCTCTGTTAATGTCTAACTGAGCACTGAGAGAAAAATACCGTTATTTTCGGGGACAACAATATCCTTTTTTTTTCATTTTAACTACAAAAATAATAGTAATGACACGCACGTAAGGTTATTATCACTGACACTATAGTAAATGACATTTACTAGAAAAATAGTTTCCCCGACCACTTTTGTAGTTAAAATGGAAAAAGGATATTGTTGTCCCCGAAAATAACTATATTTTTCTGTCAGTGAGAAACAAAGAAAGAAATAACGGCCAGTAAGAGCCAAATTGCGGCTGTTGTGGCGATTACGTAAAATTGTTAAATTTCGAGAAGGAGTTACCGTAATCGTGTCTGGTCAACTTCGCTACGAATTTAAATCCGCATTCGACTCCGGTGTCTGTTTGGTCAACTTCGCTACGAATTTAAATCCGGATTCGACTCCGAAGTCGGAGTCGGATCCGATTCTGGCTTCGGGTCCGGATTTGAAAGGTCACATTTATGGGAATAATCGGATATCTGAATAGTGTCAGATCCGAACGAATACTGGAGCTTTAATATAAATGTTCATCATTAGACACTATTTTTCGCAACGTAAGGAATAAAATCAAATGTTTAATTTGTTGATTAGAGGAGATTTCTTAAGAGGTATCTATTAATTATGAGTGATTCAAGGGTCGGTTTGTTTGTGGAAAGCCGTTTCGCTATACGTTTGTCCGAAAAATTCTTTGATAAACAGATAAAAAGGTTTCTTTAGATTTAGTATTTCTATTTATTGGATTAAAATTTGTTTCATTCAAACAACATATACAAAATATTATTTGTTTGAGTAAAAATGTTATTGTCTCATTCAAGAAAACTCTGTTATTTAACAAAAAGAACGCTATTATTTGAAATAATATCTTTCAACTAAATAAAATATTATTTGGTTACAATAAATATGTAAAATGAAGCAAATAATTTTGCTTTATAAGAAAATTATCTTCCGTTTCAAATTTGTTATTTAAGATAAAGATACGTATTCGTTGAAAAGTCCAACAATCGTACTTATTAATCGAAACATTACTTTCTTTGGAGCATGCCAATGATGAAATTTGTTTGGATGCAATAAAATTTATTAAATTTGAAGAAATTTTCAGTGTACGTGCACAATACACGGTGAACATATTTAAGTCTTCCCACGATAAATAATTTAAACATATCGCTACAACAGCCGTGATTTGGTTTTTGCTGGCCATTATTTCTTTCTTTCTTAATGAAAAAATTGTTTCGTCATCGACATCAGGTTCCCTAACAAAGGGAAACCAAACGATCACGTCTACATTTCACGTATCCGTCAGATCACATCGCGCTGCATTATACTATAATTATACGTCGCAATTATTAATGCAACTAAACCGTATTGTCTAAAAAGTTAAATGGCTATTAAAATCACATCGTGTTATCTCGGCTGTAACGCGACTATGACGCATGCGTGTGTCCGTGTGCACGTCTACGCACGTTACGATCTTATTGGAGCTTTCGAGAAATTTCACGGCGCATTTGCTCGTGCAGCATTCGATCGTGCGTGATCGATAACTATATTACATCGGACAGCATTTTCCGCCACGCCGTCCCTCGTGCGCGTTTATTAATTAAATTACCACGCCTCTTAATAAATCGACGGGATCGCCGGAGAGAGCATCGACTGTCGATAGCCGTTTTCCTCTCGCTCGTTCCGCTTCGCATTCTCCCTTTTCCCCGGCGTGTGCCAATTAGAACGCTCGTCGGAACGACGAAATATGCAAGGAGAGATGACAAATTAACGTCCTTTCGTACGTGCGCGGAAACGACCGCGGACAATGTAAAAACCCCGGCGCGACGACGGTCGTTGAACGCTCGTTGCCGGCTAAATTATCGCGCGCGATTATATTTATCAGCGTAGAACTTACGCTTCATATTGTACAACTACTTAATTCGCGACGTATCTCCCTTCCGAACCAATGAGAGACACAGAGGATGCGCGAGTGTTTTCCGTCGTTAGCGCGATTGCGGCGATTGCACGCCGGGAAATATCTCGCAATCGACTCGGTCATTTTCGCCTGCTCCGGAATATCTTGTACACACACACACACGTGCAAGCGCGTGCACAGCCTTGTTACACACTTTATGAATGAAGAGAAACGCAGGAATGCGCTTACTTGGCGGTTCTGTAAAAAATGGCGCAGCCGTCGACGTATTTGCGGTCGTTCTCCGCCATCGTCTTCGCCCGGGACTTGGGCGAGAATATGCCGTCGTAGCCGTCGTGTTTGAGCTCCGGCAGGAAGAAGTTGTAGAATTGGTCCGTCTCGACCTCCTGCAAGCTGATGATATCCGCGGCGTAATGGCGTATCTCGTCGAGGATGCCCTTCTTCCGGTACTCCCAGTCTAACGCCCAGCTTGGACAGTAGCCGTACATCTGTCGCGTGGCATACTTGTCGCACAACACGTTGTAACACATCACCGTGAAGATACCTGCAACATCAAAACGAAACGTCCCGTCGTGTACAACTGTATCGTAACAATTAGGGCCTTCGAGGATTTGCTCGCGCTCAATTTTCTCCCGTTTTTTTCGTCGCACTGTTGCGAGCATCTCTTATGTGTGTGTGTATGAGAGAGAGAGAGAGAGAAAAGACTAAATATATATAGGGCGAGATCAAAATTATTATCATCTTGAATATCTCCGAAATATTTATCTAAAATTGCACTTATATCAATGCATAACAGTTCGAAAAGAAATGTTTTTAACCAAAACTGTGAATCTTGATGAAACTGATAAACAATGCATCATTTTTTCTTTTACAATATTCTTGAATATGAAGGATTTTACACATTATTTAGTCGAGTATTTTTACTTTCTGATACTCTCCAAATTTCATAGAGTCCGATAAGACATGTTATAAGGATCTAAAAAAGGTCAATTATTTTTAAAAGGCACAAAAAGGCGCAAAAAAATATAACAGATTTTAGTATTGTAAATGCTGGCGATTATTATATAATTTAGTCTTTTTCAGAAACTTTCAGAAATTCTTACAATCTTTCCCGAACTATTAGCAAGAAAACATTTTTCATGTAAGATTACGCTTATTTCAACAGTAAATTTAATTATTTACCTCATTTCAGAAAAAGGAAAAACACAACAAAAACACAACAAAATGTGAAATTATTTACTTCTCGCAATCGACTCGGTCATTTTCGCGAAGGAGTATGTTCTTTTACTGTATTAAATATTTATACAATCACTATTTAAATTAATACAATATATAGCACAATTTTGACACATGTGTCTAAAGATTATTTTTGAATGAACGATATTCTTAGTACCATATTTACCGATGAATGATAAGAGAATAATAAATAACAATTTATGATTATTTGACTATGTAAGATCATAAAATAGCATTTATATCAATTTAAGGTGAAACTTTCAAAAATGAGTTTTGGCCAAGAAATAACTATCTTAGGCCACTGTACAATCATCACTTTGAACATCTTTCGTAAATGTAAACTTTGTTCATCTTTTCATCTAGTTTTCGCTAAAATACTGTTATTTTTCAAAGATATTCAAAGTGATAATAGTTATGTTGCCCCATTCTCTCTATATATTTATATACTCATACACATAAAAAAGAGTCATATTATTAAAAGAAGACATTGTATTATAATAAAATTTACGTTTTCTAGATGCGTTACCTCGCGACAGAACTCCAGGTAGAATTCTACCCTTAGGGAAACGCGTCCGAAGAACCGGAATCACACCCATAGACGTAAGCATACGCGTACAAATGTTCCGACGTTTTCACGCATTACACGGCGCATGAAGTTCCAAGTAGAATTCCGACGTCGTGTAGGTCGTTTCTATATAAAATGTGGACTTTATATTGCAATTTATAACACAAGGCACGGAGATAAGTCGCGGGTCTCGCGACAACTTGTTGCGGCGACACAAGTTACGCGGTGCAGGTAAACGCGAAGATCTCACGGAACAGCCAAAGAGGTGGGCTCGTTGCTCGAACACCGATAATTGGCCATCGTGATGATGATCGATCGTTTCGCGCGCTATCTCTCGATTTCCACGCGATAATTAGCGATCAGTTTTACCAATATCGGACTAGACTCTCGCTTTTATATTGCGGCGGATCTTGCACGTCTCGACGCATCACTCGCTCGCTCGTTTAATAATCAAGCGAATAAAAAAAAGAGAAAAAGCAAAAGAAACAAAATCTTCGCGTATCTTCCAGCTTTTCGTTATATACAACGGATATATTCGTCGCTTAAAAGTAATTTTTCAATTACACATACAATGTGTACACTGTTAGAAAAATTTCATAATCTGGTTGTGAAGTTTTTTACACAACCAAGTCATGAAAATTGCTAACTAAATTGGTATTTAATAATCAAATCGATATTACATTAAATAAAGCATAGTTATGAGGAGACATTTTTCATTATGATATTGGTAATAATTTACATGTAGATTATGAGATTTAGTAAGTGAAATACATTACAACTGATATACTTTACTAATATTCACTAAATATCAACTAATGGTTTATATCGTTGTCAAATCCTATCATACATGTATTAACAATTATGCCGTGTATTATTAAATGTTAAAACAATTCTAATATATCATAACATGTCATAACTGAACATAAAAACTAAACAGTAAATTATGCATTATAAGACAGAGAAATATTAAATCTCACATTTGCCCTTTGATTTTGTAGTAAATATGAAACATCATAACTATTTTATAACTTTATTTTATAACAACATCGATATTACGAGAATTATAAAAATTAAAAACTTTAATATAACATTTTTTTAAATTTACTATCAAAAACTCTCTTACTTTGAAGAACTTTTTAACAGTTTATATATGGAAAATCACTCACCATTTGTGAATGGTGTATATGAATCTTTCGATTAGAATTTTCTTTATTATATTATTTCGTTTCAGTGTCATACAATTGAATACCATACTATACACAAAAAAAAAAGAGAGAGAGAGAGAGAGAGAGATAGAGAGCACTTCTGGTTGTAGCGCGCAGCAGCGAAAGGGTTAACTAGAGTCGCTCGCTCCGTTTGTCGCCCGAAACTTCCATTCCCCATCATTCTCGCCTCGTTATTCCACGTCGTTCGCTTCGTCGCTACTTCGAAATCAAATTCCATGTCCGTAAATTCCGTCGCGTCGCGCGTAATGGAGACGGAAGGAGGGCCGCTCGTTTCTTTCGCGATCCCGATTCACGGCTGTATATCGCAGATCTTCTCTCTCTCTCTCATACGTCTCTTCGAGGCCTCGGCTCAGTCCGGGGACCGCCGTGCTCCATTTTCCTCGAGTTTCCGCGACGGGCGGAAAGCCGTTTCGCTAGAGCCTCGTCTCTCGTAAACGCAAGCAGACGTACGTACGTAGCGTACTTACGTAGCGGGGGTACATGTTGCACGCTCGGGCGACCGCGCGTGCGAAGCGAGCGGGGGTGGGATAAGAGGATCAGCATAAAGCGAGCTGTCTTCCCGACGTCGCCCGGCTGTCTACATAAATTCCCGACATCTCTCGCGCTTTGCCTAGTCTCGCCCGGCTTGGTCTCTCGCCTTGTCTCGTCTGGTCTCGTCTCGACTTCGCCAAGTTATCCCGCCGCGCGATATAATACCGTGATTAGAGCGAGCAAACGCGATGAATCAAGTGCGAAACGTCGCGTCGCGAGCGACTAGCTCGCGCTTCGCTCGCTCGTCTTCGAAACTCGAGCTGCGGTCGATCGTTCGTCGCATCAGCGTCGTTTCGACGCTGGTACCGTGTATACGACACCCCGGGGCGATCCCAGGATGTACGCGCGAACCGTCACCGAGCGAGCGAGATCCCGTCCGATTCCGCCCGAGTTAAATTAAAGTCGACGTCTCGGCGGGTCGCGGTGTTCGTTAGCGGCGAGAGATTGCCCGCGCGGCCCAAACAAACAGAACTGGTTTTTTAAACTTCGATTAACGCGATATTCGTTCCCGCCCGATACCGGCGGGCGCGAATACAGGCTGCGTACAGGTGGCGCGATTTCGGAGCGCCGCCAGTCTCTCTCTTTCTCTCTCTCTCTCTTTCTCTCGAAGAACTCATCTCGGATCTCGGTGCGCCGATACGCTGGAACTAATTTGAGCCGCGGCTACGCGATAGACGGCCGAGCTAAACCAGTAAATCAGCGGTTCTATTACCGCGAACGTACCGGGGGCAAGCCCGGCCGCCGCCGTCGTGATGGTGTAGCCAGGGGGCGGGAGGGAGGGAGAGAGTGTAAATAATTGAGCCGCGGTATCCGCCGCAATCCAATAACGTGTGCGCGCGCGCGCGCACCTGAGAGTGTGGCTGCACTGATAGGACCGAGGCCGGTATCAATCAGTATCGATGCCTTTAGGTTTGAAAAGAATTACGATAAATTGCACGAGGAGAATTGAAAGGAACCTCGCAGAGGTGTCGTGCGGCAAGGGCGGTATACAATCAGTCGTAAAAAGGTTGCGATACTTTATTTTTTTGCAATTTTCGGAGCGCATCCCGTGCTTCCGACAGGAGAATTTGCTTTTCAGTGATTCTCGGGAGATACATTTCCCTATCGGGCGCGTGATACGTCGCTGATCGAGGAAAAGTGTCGCGACCTTTTTGTAACTTTGTGGCCACGGACACAAACGAGAGAAGACAATTCCGTGGAATACGCGAAAACAGATCAAGAGCGGTGAATTATTTCCCTCTTCTTCGTTTTTCATGCCTTTCCTTACCTCGTCCGGGGATCGGGAGAATTTTTCCGTGACAGCGACGTGTCCAGCTCCGGCGCAAAGGACGGCGCGATAAATAGAGAACTGATTAAGAGCGGTGTAATAAGTAGAATGAGTACGCTGATTCAACGGCGACGTGTGTCTAATGAGGTAGCGAAGCCGCTGCCGATTTTTCACGCGGACCGTAGATACGAAGCGCGAGATACAAAACGCGAGATAACGCGAAATGTAAGACAACATTAATTATACAATATAGCCGCGCGCGGCGCTCCGCGGCGGCGCGCAGCGCGAACGCTTTTAATCTTTAATTATCCGTTCCCGACGCGCCGGCGATCAACCCGACCGATAAGGGCTTTTTTAATCGCCGCGATAAATACGATCGTTAACGATTCGCCGATTCGTTTCCCCCGGAGCGAGGCACGAGGCACACCCGAGGGGTTGTTAACACAACGTCGACGAGCCTCCTCCGGTATTCGCCGACGTCGATCGTCGTTCTTAAGAGGGCATTATTCGAGCTCGATCTCGCGTGAGATATGCGTCGTTAATGGGCACCCCGTCGTTCTCCCCGTCTCTACTGTTAACTCCGACAAGACGGAGACAATGACACATACATACACACACACATACTCACGCATACACGAGGAGACTCGAGGAGTGCTCTTCTTATCGAGCTTACGTCGACCGTGATACGATAAGGAAGTTGACAGCGAACTTTTTCCGTG